TGTGTGCAAAAATTCAGCCAAAAATATTGAAGTGTAGTGTCAGGATTTGAGAAACTTGAAAAAAACTTAGATTTGACCTAGATTTTGACCTTTGACCTTGACCTAGATAAAAATTCCTTTCCCGCCAAGTTCAGCCAAGGTTCCTAGTAGGAGCATATAAGAGTTAACTCAGACCTAGCTAGAAGTAGGAGAAAAAGAGGGAGGAAGAATAAATAATAATAAAGAATAATAAAGAATAAAGAATAAAGAATAATATCTACAAAATTGATAGGAGGCCCCCCTATGGGGCCTCCTAATAACAATTGATTATCTATTAAAATTCTGCACCAGTTTTGAGATATTGGACCTCAAAAACTGAAAAAGGTCTAATGTTGAAATTTTTCAAGGTCAAATTTCACATTGCTTCAAATTGACCAAACTTTTTTTTAAAAATCATCTACAAGATGCCTGGAGTTCATATATGTCCTTGTATTTAAGATTTGACCTTTGGCTGACTTTTAAATGTTCAAAAAAGCCTACAGGGCCTCCGTAAGATTGCTTGCAATCTTCTAGTTCTTATTCTTTATTCTTCTCTGCACTTTTTCTCCTACTTCTAACTAGATTTCAACTATCTACTATATGAACCTCCTAGGGTACTAGGTTGAACTTACCGGGAAAGGAATTTTTATCTAGGTCAAGGTCAAAGGTCAAAATCTAGGTCAAATCAAAGTTTTTTTTAAGTTTCTCAGATTTCGTCCTCATACTTCATTATTTCTTGCGATGAATTAAAATGTAACTAGATATAAGCATTCTCTACAAATTGCTCACTATATGTACGCGTTAATTTTTTACCGTTTTTGAGATATTTGACGCCAAAAATCGGCAAAAATCGGTCATTTTTCAACTTGCTTCAAATGAACCAGATTTTTTTTTTAAAATCATCTACAAGATCTCAGGAACTCAAATATGTCCTTACTTTTGACTTCTGACCTTTGGTTGACCTTCGGTGACCTTCGAAAGGTAAAAAAAGTCGTTTTTTCAAATTGATTTTCTGGATTCAAATTTAGGTTTATTTGATCACAAAGGACCCACTGAGGTCTAAAAAAGTAAAATTTGCAAGGTCAAAGGTCAAGGTCATCAAACTAAATCACAAACTGTGTTTTCTAAGTTTCTCAAAATTGGAGACTAAAAATCAATATTTTTTCATGAAAGTCAGGATATATATTCCTCTATAGGTTCTACACATATTAGCAATTGACTATTTATTAAAATTGTGTACCAGTTTTGAGATATTGGAACTCAAAAACTGAAAAAAGGTCAAATTTCGAAACTTTTCAAGACTAAATTTCAACTTGCTTCAAATTGACCAATTTTTTTTTTAAAACTCATCTACAAGTTCTCAGGATTCCAAATCTAACCTTACTTTTGACCTTTGACCTTTATTTGACCTTCAGTGACCTCCGAAAGGTAAAAAAAATTGATTTTTCAAATCGATTTTCTGGATTCAAATTTAGGTATATTTATTCACAAAAGACCTTCTGAGGTCTAAAAAAGTAAAATTTGCAAGGTCAAAGGTCAAGGTCATCAAATGAAAACACAAACTGTGTTTTCTAAGTTTCTCAAAATTGGAGACTACAAATCAATATTTTTAAATGAAAGTCAGAATATATATTCCTCTATAGGTTCTACACATATTAGCAATTGACTATTTATTAAAATTGTGTACCAGTTTTGAGATATTGGAACTCAAAAACTGAAAAAAGGTCAAATTTCGAAACTTTTCAAGACTAAATTTCAACTTGCTTCAAATTGACCAATTTTTTTTTTAAAACTCATCTACAAGTTCTCAGGCTTCCAAATCTAACCTTACTTTTGACCTTTGACCTTTATTTGACCTTCAGTGACCTCCGAAAGGTAAAAAAAATTGATTTTTCAAATCGATTTTCTGGATTCAAATTTAGGTATATTTATTCACAAAGGACCCACTGAGGTCTAAAAAAGTAAAATTTGCAAGGTCAAAGGTCAAGGTCATCAAACTAAATCACAAACTGTGTTTTCTAAGTTTCTCAAAATTGGAGACTAAAAATCAATATTTTTTCATGAAAGTCAGGATATATATTCCTCTATAGGTTCTACACATATTAGCAATTGACTATTTATTAAAATTGTGTACCAGTTTTGAGATATTGGAACTCAAAAACTGAAAAAAGGTCAAATTTCGAAACTTTTCAAGACTAAATTTCAACTTGCTTCAAATTGACCAATTTTTTTTTTAAAACTCATCTACAAGTTCTCAGGATTCCAAATCTAACCTTACTTTTGACCTTTGACCTTTATTTGACCTTCAGTGACCTCCGAAAGGTAAAAAAAATTGATTTTTCAAATCGATTTTCTGGATTCAAATTTAGGTATATTTATTCACAAAAGACCTTCTGAGGTCTAAAAAAGTAAAATTTGCAAGGTCAAAGGTCAAGGTCATCAAATTAAATCACCAACTGTGTTTTCGAAGTTTCTAAGTTTTGGTGACTACAAATCAATATTTTTTCATGACAGTCAGGATATATATTCCTCTATAGTTTCTACACATATTAGCAATTGACTATTTATTAAAATTGTGTACCAGTTTTGAGATATTAGGACTCAAAAACTGAAAAAAGGTCAAATTTCCAAACTTTTCAAGACTAAATTTCAACTTGCTTCAAATTGACCAAACTTTTTTTTTTAAATCATCTACAAGTTGCCTGGTGTTAGTATATGACCCTAGATTTGAGATTTGACCTTTGGCTGACCTTCAAATTGCCAAAAACGCCTACAGGGCCTCCGTAAGATTGCTTGCAATCTTAAATCTCTAGTTTTTATATATAATCAAATGATTTTGAAGAATACAATAACTTATAATTTATGGAAGTAAATTACAGTCAGTCTTCGCGATTCTATAAAAAGCGTACCCACATCCAGGTTTCTTTCAAACATAGACATAATACCATATACTGTGCCTCTCCTCGGGAGGTTATCTCAGTGAAAAAACTGCAAACCAGAGAAAATGTTTCAGTGATAACCAAAAATTTCAAAAAGGCATTAGTTAAGCTTTAATGTTCTGTTTTAAGACTTCTATATTCTTACTCTTGAAAATAGATTCTAGCAATACAATCCCACATGAATAAAGGGACTTGTTGAGGTTCGATCAACTGGAGTTTTTCCGAGAATATGAGGATTTTCTATCTATTCCCACAGTGACATAGATGATGATATCCCGGTGCTACATGTAAGTCAATAGCTAAGTCAAAAGCCCCCATGAATGTGGGGTGTTTTGCCTTTTTGAGGTCGTCCTTATCAATGTCAAAAATTAAAAAAAGTAAACCGAACCCATTTATGGGGGTATATTCAAAAGAACATGGAACAGAATACCCAAACTACAATACCATGTGGTTTAATACCATTCTTGTAACCATTGGGATCTTTTTTCAAGATACAATTGCCTTTCCAATTTCCAACAAGGCGTCCCTTCCAATTTAAAATCAAGGATAACCCCTGCATACATTAGGAAAACTACCTAGCTACGACGTCTCTGCAAAGAAATGAACAAAAGTCAAATCTTCATTGATTTATAAATAATGTGTATTTCTGAATAAATACAAGACATAATAACATATACATGATAACAAAATGTAACATTATCTGTTTTCTTTAGTTTTACTTTACATAAACCACATGTTATTCTTATATAGCCTTTCTACTGAGACTAGTGTCAGCAGCGTGCACCATTCTACATGATAGAGATTTTGTAAAATGGCATTCACTATCACGTTTGGTCCGATGATTCAACTCTTCCACGTTAATCTATACCATTAAAAAGGTGTGTCACAATCTTTTTAGACTACATTCTAAATGTACTTTCTACATGTACATTCTAAATCAACTTTGTTTTTTAAATTGGTGGTGAAAGTTGAACTGGGTGAGTGATTATCAATTGGATGGAATTAGTGTAGAATTTGAGACAAGAGCTGAAACACTACAACTAAGCAAAATTATTCTTTGTGACCAGAGGTCTTGTTCTGGAATAATGCTTCCAATCCTTTTTTCATTTCCATTGTTTATGATATAATTACTAATACTTTATAAGGCTATGAGTACAGTATACATTAAAACCTCTGTAAGTGGAACACCTCAAAAAGTGAACCAATTTAAATTAAATGTTAAATGGACCTCTGTAAGTTGAACACCTCCCAAGAGGAACACTTCAAGAAGTGGATTTCCACATTAATCTTGAGTCCATCAGAGAGAGAGAATCTTGGACTTTAATTACATGTATCTATATTCCCATCTATGTTTTTGTCTCAAACTTGAAAAATTGTAAATATGTTGATAATAAAACACAGTCATTATTAATGCTTTCTTTTGAATTAGTCTAGATGTAGTTAATTTCTGTTATGCCACAACATATGCTTCTTGGTGTCTAGTGGCTTGATATTAGAGTGTATATTCTATATAAAAATGAGAAATAAATTGCATTGAATTGAAATAAGAAAGCACAGGGATAAATCAATAAAATAATTTATACTTTTCATATCATTTCATGAGAAACAATGATATGAGATATCTACAATAACAGATTAAGGAGGAGAATTGGTAGCTTAATAGCAGCATGAAATATTACATAGAATATGTACAAAATAACATATTAGATTGAACCCTGCATTACAGGAATCAATGGTTGATAATAAATCAATCAATAAGTAAGTACATTTATACATTTAAAAATGAAAATCTGTATACTGCATAAAAATAGTGAAAATCAGTATATTGTGAATGTAAGGCCAGAAATTAAGATGTTTTCAGATAATATTTCTACAAAACTAAGAAAATAAAGTCCAATGCAAAACCTCAGTGTTAAGGATTAGTTTGAAGTTACAATATACAATCCCCAATTTCTTCACTTACAAAAATATCATTGTTAATTTGTGAATGCTGACCATTCAGATTTTTTAAGTTTAATACATAACTATTGTAAAGTAAATTATTCCATCATGCATCCATCATGAACGTTCATGTCACTGTCTTACAAGTTTGGATTGCACTAATTCGCAGCAGGGTCTAATTGATGAAAGTTAGTACTGCACATTTAAATTCTGATTGTGATATTTCACAAACAGTGCTTCAGGATTTTAGACTGTGCCTAGCAATAAGCATCTTCAGACTTCTGTTAGGTGTAAGGTCCGTTGACAATAGAGGGGCGTTAGTCATGGGACTCCGTGATTTCCCACTCTTAACCCAGGATTCCAGGGCTGATCTCTCATAAGTATAACCATCTGGAATTCATGATACATAAACTTGAAATGAAAAATGACGGGGGGGAAAGTCATATATAAAAACCTGAGTGCAAAATCAAACGATTGGGATAACAGTCATATAGTCTAATATACAATAAACATGAAAGCAAAACAAAATGATGGGAATTTAGTTTCACTTAAATATAAACATACACGTACATATCAACATAGTAAACATGAAAGCAAAACAAAATGATGTGAATTTAGTTTCACTTAAACATAAACATATACACATACATATTGACATAGTAAACTTGAACGCAAAAAGGATTCAAACCAGAATGATACTAATATCCAGAGTCGTTGTGTACACAACAATCATACATTATGAACCAATGTGCTAATCAAATCCCCTGGTCATAAATATCTATGTATAATTTCACAGTTCAGTCTCTTATTACCTGATGCTATGACTGGGTCTCTCATGACTTCTCTAGTAATTGGACAGAGGTATTCATCAGGCACTCCAGCATCTAAACACATGTAATATTTAACATCAGAAAGATTGACTTCATATGCATACATAAAATATCTGTTGGTTATCTTGGCTTGGTGGTTATCTTAATTCACACCATGACAAAAATAACAGTATAGTAATATATTTCAACAGGGTGGCATACAATTTTTGTATTTTCAATATGACACAACACCCAGTTGCTCTTATGTGTGCAAGATCACTAATCTGTTACATTTTATCTATTCACCGCAAATTTCTACTTACCAAGTTCTAAAGGCTGCACATATGGGTGTTCTAGTATACGTTGAATCGAACGCAAGATTTTGTTTCTATGACCTAAGGCACCTGCAAACAGAAAATTAATTTACATCTTGCACACAAATGGCCTGCCTCTCTGTAGTATACAAATAACAAAGCATCAACATGCAAAATTTCACCACCTGAACACCAATCACCAAACACCATCAACAAAAAGTGGGAGACCATAACAATATGTCAGGCTGTCAGCACTTGTGGTGTTGACATAACAAGTGAATTTCCAATCATTATCATCGATTAAAATAATAAATATTTTTTTCATCAATAATGTCAAAAAATAAGCAGTACATCCATTTTTGTCAAATGCTGTACATCAACTTGTACAGAGTAAGATTGTTACCTATTCCAAGAGCAGAGTTCAGTGTTGTATCATTTAATGTCTTCAATTCAGTGCCATCTATAGCATTCTTCTTGAAGTTCTCTTGATATTGAGTGAGGCCGATCTCAGCTAACCATTTACACACATCCTCTACTTTCCACTTTGTGAAGTCTTTAAGACTGTCAGGGTTAACAATAACAAGGTCCTCTTCTTCTTCCTCATACCCTGGAGCATCTAGAAATAAAACTAGGCATTAATATGCAAAATGTCACAAACATTTTTTAGAGATGCCAGACTCCAAACGCCGAATGCTATCCACTACAATTTGGAGACTAAAGCAATATGTCACCACTTCTGGTGGTGACAAAATTAGTCAGAGAATTTTTTTCTAAATACTCGTACACCTACTTAATATTATTTGAAATCCTCAAATCTGGAAATATTTAATTGAAAAATATCTATATTGATTGATGCGAACAGGTATTGATTGTTGTATCTTAAAATATATCTGAATCATTGTCAAGCTAGAGGCCGGATTTGTAAATCAAGATAACTCAATTTATGAAAATAGTGCCGCTGATTGTTACTTTAGAGATATTACAGTAAAACCTGAATGCCTGAACACTAATCTATGTAACTGCTCTTCTTCTAAAAAACCTCAAAATGAAAACATCTGCCAATTTGAACACTTTTGGCTGGTGCAGTAGCGTTTGTCTTAGACAGGTTTTTCTGTATGTTGAAACTGATTATTTCACTCACTTGCCAACTCCTCTTCAGAGACAATGTTCCACAGACATACAGTCTTATCATTAGAGCCAGTGGCTAGGAGGTCCCCATCTGTAGAGAAGGCACAACACATAACATAACGACCATGTCCAGATATGGTGTGTAAAACTTCACCTTTTAGCTGAAAATACAGGAGATTATCTGCATTTGATATATCAATTTATTTTCCAATTAACTAACATGAATAAAGGAGTTTATTGAAAACCATGTAATATGCTAACTTATTAATTATCACAGTTCAATCATACAATGTACAACTGATTAAATGATATGGCCTGGTTTCTTTTGATATTGTCCGTTTTAAATGTACAGGATGTATGTGAGCAGAAACCCTTTTTGTGATTTTATTAGCACTTACTGGGTTCCAAAGTTTTACTGTCTTGTCTCCTGACCTGAAAGACACAATGGAAAGGCATTGGTAAAATTACAGTCACAAGGAGTATCCATCCCCGGATACTGCCTGAGTTTCAGACAATCTGCCTAGCAGCAAAAAGGCACATCCGCGCACAATGTAGCATGGTACAATGGTTGCAATTAAAAGTATGTGAGTTTCTTCTCTTCCTTAATATTAAGAGAGTATACTTACCCAGAAGCTAGTATTTTTCCATTTGGTGAAAAGTTGAGGCACATGACGCTTTCCGAGTGTCCAATCAATGTGTCCCTTAGAGCAACAGTTAAATCTATAAACAAACAAAAATATGACAATGTAAAATTTGAATCAAGGATTACTTCGCTTTATGAAAAAGCTATACATCCATCAAGACATAGACATGAAAACAACAATATAGCTATTTGAAAAAGTGTGATAGAGCTATGGGGGAGACTTAATCTAACACAATTGCCTTAAAATTTATGGCCAAAATTATACTTACTGGGGCTGCCTGCCACATCAGAGATGACATCCCACAGCTTAACAGTGTTATCATGTCCTCCAGTGGCCAGTAAGAAGTGAAGCTGGGCTGCAACAGAGACTTGACTTAGGCATCCTGCAACACATTGCACATTTAACAGATACCAAGATACTGCCATTCCAATAACCCAGATGCGAGTAGGAACTTACCAGTATATTGGAAAGGGCTTTGAATAAAAAACCTCCTACCTCATACCCACCTACGTGGGACATGATACAGTCTTTGAAGGGTTCAATTTTAAAATCTCAAATTCAGATTTTTAAATCTCAAAATAGCTCTAATTATTAACATTTCTACAATTCCAGCTTTATTTTATGACTAGACGAATGACAGATCCATAAATAAAGGCATATGGGTGCATTGTAATGTGTAATGACCCAAGGGCGCCCCAGGGGAATAACTAACTAACTAACAACCGCAAGCATAGGTCCAAGCCAGATAAAGAAATTGAAAGAAAGTGTGCTAAATTCGATGCCCCGAGTGGGAATCAAACCCAGCTGGGCTGTAGTAGCAACTTGCTATCAAGGGTCGTTGCAAGTGCATCTATAATTCATCATAAACTAAGATTTAATAAACTAAGATCTTTAAAATTGAACCCTTCAAAGACTGTATCATGTCCAACATACACCCCCAAAATGCAATCTGATTTTCGACACCGTTTCGGTGCCAAATTTCGGGGCCGTTTCGGCACCAAATGGACTGACTAGTCCGGTAACAAATTTTGGTGTCATAAGGTTTCGGTGCCGAAACGGTGTCGAAACGGTGCCGCAACAGCGCCGAATTTTTTCGATGCCGAAACGGTGCCGAATTATATTGGCTGTGTACGTGGGTAGGTGGGTATGAGGTAGGTTTTTTATAGAAACCCATTAGAAAGTTCCCTCAAACTTGAATATTCATCACATCTAGTATATCAATTTTCATATTACCCTTATGTTCTGATAGTTAAACAATTGAAAATAAATCAAGTAAAACAAACTATTATCTGGCCAATAAATAAAAGATTTATCCCATGGTTGCAAGGATATAGATCGATATCACATGAAGATATATTTGATTTGTTGATCAAGATATCATATTTTATCCAAAAATTCACAAACCATCGAATATCATTTTTAAACTATCGAATATCACGTCTTAAAAAGTGATATTTGATGGTTTGAAAAGTGATATTCGATGGTTTGAAAAGTGATATTCGATGGTTTCGAATTTTTCAAAAAAAAAATTTCAACATTTTTTCACAATTTTTTTCAATTATTTTTTTCATTTTTTCTCAAATTATATTTTTCAACTTTTTTCGCTGATGATGATTTCAAAAATATCAATTATATCCACTCATGGACACAAATATCTTCATTCATTCGCTGCGCTATAAATATCCACTAATATAATGGATATAAATTATATTTTTTCAAAACCATAGGATATTCCTATAATAGACAGGTTCCAATTTCAGAATATCTCAAGGGAAAGGGTTTTTGAGGCATTTTTTAGAAAAAGCAACAGACCTATTTTTTCTGGATCAGTTTTTCATGCTGATAAAGATATTAAAAGATGACAGCTCAACGGGGTGGTCACGACACTGAATTTTAACGTTTTTACCCCCCTAGGGAATTATTTTAGGGTGTACTATAATATTAGTTCATAACTCAAAGGATATATAAACTATTGTTCTGAGTTCTACAGCATACATTGTTAGTACAGAGATGAATACTACCCTAAAGTTATAGGTTGATATCTTTGTTGGTTTCGGAAAAATACAATTAATTAGAAAAAAATATGCAATTTTTGTCATTTTTTTCTTGCTTATTTTATATTTGTAGCTTCAAGCAAAATATGATAACTTAAACAGCTCAAAGTAGTATTCTAACAACATTCCCAAGCTATGTGTGATATTGTAATACATCTATTATAGTGATGAAGTACTATTTTCTAATTTTAATATGACTTTATAGTGCCCTACCCCTGGTAAATAGAAGAAAGTTGGTGTGGTTTTCTTCTGGTTTTAACCTTTTATTGTCTTCTTAGTTGAAGATACAATCAATTCTGTCAGTTAACCATGAGAAGCTTTACAATGGTTAACTATTCCCATGAATAGAGGGTTGGGACCTCAAAAATACCAACTATTAAGTGGCATCCTTGGGCAACCCTCTTCATAGCATTTTCCTTATATAATCCGATAAAATCTGCAGGGGACACTATAAGAAACCTATATATCTTAGATACTAAATAATGAAGATACTGAACTCAAATTTTCAGGATTTGGTCCTGGTATGATAGGTAATCTGTGTGACAAAAATGACAAAAAGAAAAAACTCTGTTGCCATAGTAACAAGAATACGACACTATTTGTTTCCTAAGAAATGTGTTTTAAGAGGTTTTGTCATTCTCTTCATATTTTTATGTCTACAATGTGGGATGATTAAAATTATGGTAAAGTAATCTTTTCTATTGTTCTATTGTTCTCTAAAACAGAAGTTGCTACGCTCTATTTGTCAGGAAATTAAAATGGAAACTGAAAAATGAGTTTCTTCCTACTGAATAGCAATTTGGTAGACCAAGGCTGACACGCACAGGAGAAAACGTCTATCAGTTCTATGTCATTTTGTTGTTATTTTATTTATTTATCGTGCTCTGGGACTTATAACACCTAATGCCGAATCTTTTCCAACTGCAAAGGAAGGCAAGATTTTAATAATGAACATTCATATATCTCAAATATCTCAACAAAGATTTGGACAATGATGATGAAACTCTAAGGGAAAATTAGACGAAAAATTAATATGAGTGGTCCAAACATAACACTTACATGTTTTGAAAAAGTTATGCTCTCGGGTGAATCAGTGCTCATTTAAGGATAGTCTGAATCAGGTGAATTTTTTAACCTAATTGTACCCCTCCCCCAAAACCCCCAAATTTTGACAATTGTCGAAAAGTGGCAAACAACAATTAAACAAACATCATTAAAGTTCAATATGGCTATTTCGCTTCTCTGTCATAAAGATATGGTACGATCTCAGGTCAATCAATAAATTTCACAAGTGACACTCTATCTTATGAAGAAAATATTATCGTATTTGAAGACATGTCAAAAATTTGGTTGAAATAATTTTGTCACTCCTGATTTGACCTGGAAAGGTTCAGGTAAGTTATCACAAACAATTTCAGACAGTAATATCTTTGATTATGACTATTTTCTGACCATGAAGATGGGTATACAGGGATAATAAAGTCAATCGGACTCGGAGATATTTCACTAGCAATCAACCCATCAATATATTTTTTCAAAGTTGTTGACCTCATTTTCACCAAAAATGCAATCATTTTAACAATGTTTAATGCATTACTATTCTTTATTTTAATGTATCAAATAGCTCTTGAAAAGAAAACTGAATTCCCCTAAGATTAGTGTTCCCCATGTTATTTCCCCTTTGAAAAAATTCATGCTATCCATTGGTTTCAGTTCATTTTGGTCATCCAAATTCAGTGTCTTTAAAGTCCCTGGAGCAATCCACTTTTCCTCTTAGGAAATAGAACATGTCTCAAAGCATATTCTAATTATGCATTTAACAATATAATTAAAGGTTGCATCTTTGGTAAAAAATTAGGTCAACATTTTTAGTAAAAAGTATGAAAGTATGTTGATTGGGCCATTCCCTTTAATATCACTTAGGTCTGATTAATCATTATATTTACTTTTCTTGAAGATAATGAATAGATCTAAAAGATATACCCATGTTCATGGTCAGAAAATATTCATAATTCAAGTTAGAATTGTCTGAAGTTGTTTGCGATAACCTACATGCTCCTTTATAACATTATTATGTAAATACAGTAGAACCTGTGTAAGTGGAACACTCTCCGTTCTGCGTTCCACTTAGAAGATGTTCCACTTACGGAGGTTTTGGGTTGGCAGGGAACATACAAGATCAAATATAAGATTTATATGTATCATTGGAAATATGATTCTCCCTTCATTACAGGGCAGGTATATACCATTAATAATCCATTTATTTAACTCAAAAAGGTATCTGACATTCTTAATCCTCCTAATTCTGCCAAAAATGTTTTCTGACATTCTTAATCCTCCTAATTGTGCCAGTCTCAGGTACAAGGATTAGGCAATTAAGTTTTAAAGACTTGTTCCTACTGTTAATAATTCAATTGTTTTTAAATGACATTTTTAATCTTACTTATTAAGTTTGAAACAAACAGCAAGGGATATTAATTAGTGGTAGCATAACGTGTCCAGTTCTACAGGAGGTTAATCCAATTTTCTGAATGAAAATCTTATGAAATCCTCATTTGCTGATTATCAAATTAATTATTGGTTGCATCACATGTTGACCTCTACAGGAGGCTAATCCATTAAAATCTTAATTTGCCAATTATCACAGTATTACCTGTTTTCATACCCAGATATCATTGAAGGAGATTAATTCTGTTTACATATATCAATATTGAAATCTATGGAAATTGACTATTCCACTTAACAGGTTAATTTTTCAATATGGGGTGTTCACTGTTCAAGTTTGGAGGAGTTCCACTTACAGAGGTTCAATTAACATTAAGTCAATGGGTTTTTAAAACGGGACTTTGAAAAGGCGTTCCACTTGGGAGGTGTTCCACTTACAGAGGTGTTCCACTTAACAGGTTCTACTGTACATTACTTGTGCATGATGACCACCATAGTCTAGTTGCTCAAATTAGATCAATTGATGATTATAATGTTTAGACTTTATGTCAATGTCCAGACTGTATGCCAACCTCTCTAGTATGTGATTACACTAGATTTCATTATGATACATGTACTTAATTGAAAACGTACATATAAAATATCTTAAGTCCTATATTCTAGTAATAAATGAATTAGAATGTCAACTAACATTTGATGATGGTATGAATTTATTGATTTGGTGTCTATCAATACATGTTTCTGACTTAATGCTGCAAAATGATAAAATTCACCACATCCACTTTCTTCAATTTTCTAGGGGTAGAGCACTATAAAGTCATATTAAAATTACAAAATAGTACTTCATAACTAAAATAGATGTATTACAATACCACAAATAGCTTAGAAATGTTTTTAAAATACTACTATGAGCTGTTAAAGCTGTCATATTGTGCTTGAAGCTACAAATATAAAATTGGCAAGACAAAAATTGTGTATCTTTTTCCTGTTTTTTGTATTTTTCTAAAACCAATAAGGGTATCAACCCATAACTTTAGGATAGTATTCATATTTGTACTAGCAATGTATGGTGTAAAACTCAGAACGATAGCTCATATATCCTTTGAGTTATGAACTAGTTTCATAGTACCCCCTAGAATATTTTCCTAGGGGGGTAAAAATGCCAAAATTTAGTGTCGTGACCACCCCGTTGAGCTGTCATCTTTTAATATCGTTATCAGCATGAAAAACTGATCTAGTAAAAATAGGTCTGTTGCTTTTTCTAAAAAATGCCTCAAAAACTTGAATTATTTGATTTGGAACCTATCTATAATATCACTTTTTGTGATTTTATATTTAACATGTAGATTTCAAATATGAGATCACTTTGACTGAATTTTGAATATTTAATGATGGAAATCAAGATTATGTCTACTCACACCTAGTCTATTTATCAAAGTCCCCCTTCATCTTATAATTAAAGAGATAGAAGAAAAACAGGAAGCACAACTCTATAACCAGATATCCTTAAGATGTGATGTGAAAATTTCATGAATCAATATTAAAAGCCTTTGAAATGAGAGCACTTTTCCACGAACTTATTGAACAACCTGGTATATATGCTCAGTTCCCTTTTGTGCAAGACATCTTACCAGCTGATCCATAAGAGGGTGAGAATTCACAGCAATTTACACCCAAGTCATGAGCCTCTTTCTCCTCAGCAAGGAACTTTCCATGACCATATTTGGCATCCCATACCTTCAGATCTCCATCTGGAGTGCCTGAACACAGGTAACTACCACAGGGTGAGAAACCCAGAGCCACTATAGCAGCTTCATGGCCTCCTTCAAATTGACTGAAATAAAATTGAATATTATATCACTTTCATAGTCATCCTCCAATCACAGGGCTTCAAAATCCGGAATATATTCTTTCTTTTTACCCCCTGCGGTAAGCAGTTAGCATTTTCCTGATTTAGAACTCGCAATCTGATTGGCTGTCGCAACACTGCGACAGAAATCATGTATAAGTCATTGCGCATAATAAGATCACATGATTCAGTTTAATCGGGCGCTTCCAAATTGGTTATAGCAGGAAAGAAGGAGGTACGGATTCTGGACACCTGCTTAGGAGGATGTTTCATAGTACAGTCTCTGATTGGTCAATGTCATACCATGGCATAAACAATGCAAATAACATGTCAGCATTTCACTGCCTGGTTGCAATTTCAAATGTGTGACCATTTGTTACAGACACTGATGTTGAAGACTGACACCAAATTCCAGTCAAAAATGGTGGCTTAAGAATATGACACCCATTCTTGGTGGTGACATAAACAAAGTCCTTTTTTCTGACATTGAAATAATTTAACAAACATGATAAATGTGATGTGATTAATGCATAATTATATTAGATGTATAATGCATTATAATAATAACAATGTAATGCAGTATTTTTTGATTTATCAATAGACTTAATTCCAAAATATTGAATGTTAATGTAAACAATCAGAGTGCATATACAGTGTGTGTATCTTAATGTCAATGTAGAGATAAGGGGGCAAATATTATGTATTATAGATATGATTCACTTTGTTGTGATCATTACAATTTAGGTAGTTGACTTGCACAAATACATGTAAACAGCAAGTTAACAGGCCCGTAGTAAGTATAGGGGGGGGGGGGGGGGTCGGGCCAAATATTCTTTCAAAACCATGTAGTTTTTCACCATTCTGAGCACATTTTCAAACCATGCAGTTTTCACCATTCTGAGCACTTTTCAAGTGAATTTGACCCTTTTACGGCAAAAGTTGTCAAAAGTGAACCCCCTGGAATTTTTAAAAAAGTGAACCCCCTCGGCAAATCCAGGCCAGGGGCCCTGAGTTCAGTACCTAAATCTGAGTCTGTTGCACTATTTCCTGTATATTAGCAGTATGTCTTATTGAGAAAATAGCATGAAGATGATATCCTATGATTTTGGAGGGATGATGATATGGATTTTATCCATGAGTGGATAAATATATTCACCATGAGTGAAAAAAAGTTACAGTTTTACACACATTTCAAAAAATATTATTACTTAACTGTAGCATTTTGGTTCTATTTTCACACATATGCACATATAATACGTATATGCAGTCGTACAAAGAATCATGGGGTAAGGATAAACAGTTTTACTAAAAGAGTAAAATACAATGATTCATAATTTTTATCTGTAGAATTACCTTTTCAGTTTCTTTAATCCTATATCCCATAAACAGACAGTGTCATCATCACAGCCTGTGGCTAGTAGAGTTGAATCTGGTGAGAATCTACATACTCTGATGCTACTACGACTAGAATGTTCAAACTCCACAATCTTTTTTGCAGATCTTGCATCCCATACAATAGCTCTCCCATCAGTTGATGAAGTTGCAAGCTGACCCCCAAATGGTGAAAATGTGACACAATGTACCATATATTTGTGTTCACACAATGGTGAAAATGGCAGTTCAGTCCAGTCAATGGTGGACCATAGTCTAAGTGTTTTGTCACCAGAACATGTGGCGAATGTTTTATTTGAAAAAGCTACTCCAGTTACGTCTCCATTATGAGCTGTGATCTTGTGTTTCAAACTACCTACAGTAGCAGCAGACATGACTCTACAATATATAGTGAATGTTTATCATTAATGATTTTATATTATTTATTAAATAAAGGCTTTAACATTACCAAGGTCATGACAGGCCTTGCAACCATTGTCACTGTCAAATCAGGCTTTAACATTACCACGGTCATGTCAGGCCTTGCAATATAGTACAGCATTGTCACAGTCATATCAGGCTTTAACATTACCACAGTCATGACAGGCCATGCAATATAATATAGCATTGTCACGGTTGTACCAGGCTATCACGATAACACTACCACGGTCATGGCAGGACCCTTACGAAACTTAAAAACACTTAATAACATGGTGACGGTTGTGCCAGGCATAAGTCTTGCAACAGATAGGGTCTCAAACAAATAATTTTCAATCCCAAATTTTAACATATGTGGGCTATAGTCTGAATATTTTCATTCCAAATTTCAAAAAAATTTTAGACTAGAGGATATAGTCTAAGTGAAAAGTGGTGGCTGGTTGATTTCAAATTTTATGATCACAACATGCCTCATTTACAGGTAGAATAAAACACAGGGATTAGTGATTGGCGTACGGCTGCAATATTATAGTGGAAGCCTTAGAAGCTAAGCTTATGTTAGCAAAAATTAATTTGCAATAGATCTTGTCATGGGCTCTACCTGAAAGAGCCCATGATCTTGTTTTGATCTATTATCAGATTATTTTGATTGCCTAAAGATAAAACAATTATTCTAGTGAGCAGTTCATATGGTTAAAATAACAAAATAATGAAATGTTAACATGTGTCTACTTACCAGTTTGTTCTATGTCATCCATCCTGCTAGGTTACATTTTGGAACGCAGCCAAACACGACAATGAAGGCAACAACATATCAGTATTGATCTTAGTAGAATTTTTGGAAATTTAGATCGTCCAATTTGCAAGCTCACGTGACTGATCACGTGACACGTGTCTGATCACGTGATACATGTCTGATCATGTGACTAGTTACTGTATCGATCGTGTGACTTAATGACGTGTCACCCAACCGTGTCTTCAAGGAAAACGGTAGTAAATATTTTGGAAAATGTTTTGCGAGCATTTGCTACTGATTATAGAAGGCCCAATTACGCAACGAACGAAACTGCTAAATTGTATTTCGTGCCTAACAGGCCCAGTACGCAACAAAAGAAAGTGCTAAATTGTATTTTTAGTCATTGATCTTTTGATTCAATTCAATTCAATTCAATTTATTCATTCAAAATTACATCATACAACATTTCATCAATTACATGAAAAAGACACCCCAAGGGGCGTATATATTCCATGGGACATAATATTTAAAAGTAATGTTTTAGTCATAGATCAAAAGCTAAATGAATCAAAATGAAAGAGAAAAATGGAAGCACAGATTATCATTGGTATTTACTGATAAGATCATTCTTTATCAGTTTTTCAAATTTCTTTATATATTTTGCCTTTTTGAAGTCTTTAGCCAGTGAGTTATACAGTATTGCTCCTCTAATCGCAATTGATTTTCGACCAGTTTCAGTTCTAAACCTTTTGATTGTTAAATTATATTTGTATCTAGTATCATGGGTGTGTATATCTGTTCTCTCTTGAAAAAAATGTTTAAAATTATGAAACGGAAAGTCTACAGATTCTGTTACAGTTTTCTGCACAAAAGTGAGCGTTTGAAATTTATTAATGTCAAAAATATTTAATATTTTGAACTTTTTGAAGATGGGACTTGAATGAGCAGTTCTTTCAGAATTTGTCATTATTCTTAGAAATTTCTTTTGCAAAATAAATAGTCTGTTTAAGTGATTTTTTGTTGCATTGCCCCATAAAATGTTTCCATAACTTATATATGAATATACTAAAGAATAATAGGTTGTCAGCAAGGCATTCAAAGTTAGTTTGTGTCTAGTTTTATATATTAATCGAATTAAATTTGAAATTTTGGTACAAAGTGCATTTATGTGAGCAGCCCATGTTAACTTGGAGTCAATAATTACTCCTAGAAAATTAATATTATTTACCCTTTCTATTGATTGATTATTTAATTTTACTTCAAAGTTGTCAATTTTGTTGATTCTTTTTATGTCAAAAATCATAAATTTTGTTTTTTCTACATTGAGTGTTAATCTGTTAGATGTCATCCAATCATGAACCTTCTTCAATTCCTCATTTATATCATTTTCTAAATTATCAATGTTATCATCAGTCAATAAAATATTTGTGTCATCTGCATATAGGACAAATTTTAATTTATCTGATGTTAAATATATGTCATTTATGAAAATAATGAATAAGAGGGGCCCCAAAACAGAGCCTTGTGGAATTCCATATTCAATATTAGAAGCAGATGATTGATATTTCATATCAGTTATAGTACTTGGGTCAATTTCAAAATCATGTATTGTATATTCTGTAATGATTTTCCTATTTTCAAGATAACTTTTAAACCAAGAAAGTGGGGTTCCTCTAATTCCATAAAATTCAAGTTTATTCAACAGTATATTATGATCCACGGTATCAAAGGCTTTTGTTAAATCAATATATATTCCAATGCTTGTTTCCGATTTGTCTAAACCTGTTCTTATGTTTTCAATAAAATTTAAAAGAGCCATATATGTGGAATGTTTTTTTCGGAAGCCATATTGCTGTAAATAGAGTAATTCATATTTTTCTAAGAATACCATTACCTTATCATGAATAAGTTTTTCTAACATTTTCGCAAAAACACTCAAAATAGAAATTGGTCTGTAGTTAGTGAATTTATCTTTAAGTCCCTTTTTAAATACTGCGATAACTCTAGCAATTTTAAGTGCATCTGGAAATTTACCTGTAGAAATTGATAAATTGAAAATTTGTGCAAGTGGTGCTGCTAGAAATTCATGAAGCGATTTTATAACTATTGGTTTTATATCGTCAATTGAAGCTGCAGAATCCTTTAGTAATTTAATTCCTGTTGTGACATCATTTATTGTAACTGGGGTAATGAACAGAGAGTTTAAATTTTGATTCATTTTTCTCATGTTAATCATTGGGTCAATGTTAGTCTTAATACGATCAGCAAGTTTTTTACCAATTGTGCTAAAGAAGTGATTAAAATGTTCTGCTATCTCTTCACCATTAGTTGTTTTCCGTTCACCAAGGTCAAATGAGGAATTTGTATTTGAATTAATTGGTTTTCTTTTTAAAATGCTATTAATAATATTCCAAGATTTCTTTATATTACCTTTGCTCTCTTCAAATTTATTTTTATAAAACATCTTTTCTGCATTTCTGATAACATGATTTAATTTATTTTTATACCTAGTGTAAACTGTCTTATTCTGCAAAGTTGGATTTTTCTTATATTTGGTGTACAGTTTGTTTTTATATTTGGCTGAAATTATTATCCCTAAAGTTATCCATGGTTTATTGTTATCATTATACGTTTTAATTATTTTATTTTTAATAGGAAGACATCTGTTATATGTTCTGGATAAAATATCTAAAAATGAATTGTAAGCAGTGTTAATACAAGGAGATTCATCATAATTATCCCAGTTGATCAAAGATATCTCATTTTTAAGTCTACTAAGTGTTTCATCATTAATAACCCGATATTGAATTTTTCTTTTTTTAACACAAGATTTTGTTCTATCATTAATTGCAAATATTGGGAAATGGTCAGAAATATCATAAAGTAATACACCTGTGTGAGCTATGTTATTTGCATTTGAAAAAATGTTATCGATAAGTGTGGCAGTAGTTTGAGTAATTCTAGTAGGTCTATATATCAAAGGTATAAAGTTATTTGAATGCAAGTTACATATAAATTCATTTGTTTGTTCATGTTGATTTGATTTTAAAATATCAATATTAAAGTCACCTAATATATATGAAATTTTATCTTCTGCTACGATTTTCTCTTGCAGTAAATTAAAATCTATATTAAAATCATTTAAATTAGCATTTGGTGGTTTATATATACCAGTAACAAGGATATTTTTTCCAGATATCTGCTCAATTTCGATTGTTAAGGATTCACATTGATTAAGTGTTAACTGAAGATCAGTTCTTACTTTGAATGAATAATGCTTATCAATATGAAGGCAAATGCCTCCACCTCTTGAACCATTCCTAGAATTAAAGACAGAGTTGTATCCATCAAGTTTATAAAGTTTTTCAATATTGGAATTAAGCCATGTTTCTGACATGGCAATTACAGAAAATTTAGTACTACTCAGTGATTCAAATATTTGAAATTTCCAGTTATTTTTTGGAAGACTTCTCATGTTGAAGTGAACAAGAGAAAAAGAGTCCTGCCTCACAGTTGAGTTGAACTGGTCAATGTTAAAAAATTTGCACTTTTGAGCAAAGTCCTGCATATCTGATTGTACATTTTCATATTGGTCTTCGGTTGCGATTCTCCTCTCAAAATCAAGAGGGTCAAAAATTAAATTCATAAAGAGCTGAAATGATGCATTCAAATAAGACCACCTCCTAAATGAAAATACTAGCCTACACATAAAGTGGTGAAAAACAACAAACTAAAGTTGAAAGATCGCAATGTTCGCTACTTTGTTCAATTGCGGAAATCTCCAAGGGGCTGCAAATGGGAATTTTTTTAAATTTAGATTTTATAACCTCAGAATACTGCCTTCAGTGTCGTGTTTGGCCGAGTTCCACAATGTAACCTAGCAGGATGGATGACATAAAACAACCTGGTGAGTAGACACATGGTAACATTTCATTATTTCGTTATTTTAACCATATGAATTGCTCACTAGAATAAGTTATCTTTAAAATTTTTTAAAAATTACGAAATATTTTGACTTTTCTTAGTATACAATAAGACCTTCGTGAAATGGGTCTATTTTCTTCATATTATGAATTGGTGTTATCTTAAGTATCATTTAACCAAAATTAAAGTGACATACCATCAATGAATTCTGTATATATCGTTGAGTTCTGTGCAAAAATGTTTGAGTTTGTTTTCAAAGTCTATCCTCCATCTTGAATATGACGTCAATGTCATATGACTAGTCATGTGATCAAAATATTTTGGTGGGACTTTTGAATTTTTGCAGTGAAAAGATGATCTTCTAAATAAGGCTAGAGAATCAAACAATACATCTTCTGTTTAAATGACTCTATGAAGTGAGTATGGGCTCTTACTAGATAGAACTCTGATAGAACACCCATCAAGTGAAGGACGGGGGTTAAGAGGTGGAGGGGTTAAATTGCTGTGAGAATAAGATATAACAAGACATATATATATAATGATTTAATCATTTAGTTGTTTTATTGCATTTTGTCATTCGTTTCATGCTCATATTTACAAAGCAGGACAAACATATGCAGTAAAAATAAAATAAAAACCAACAATTAAAAAAACTCAATAAACTAAAGACATAAATTAAAACAATCATGTAATCAAAGCATTTCTAGATACCTGCTAAAATGGGTATTCAAAATTAGAAACTTGGAATTACAGATGTCAGTTAAGAAAGCATCATAAATATATCCAGTTCAATTCTGGATAAAAAATAAGAGGTATAGAGTAAAGAGCATGTAAAGGTAGAATCTATCATAGATAACTGAGCCTGAGGTAGAAAAATTCCATGCAAATAATCATAAATGTGTTTATACACTCCAGTGTGCAGTTATTTACATTTCAAGATTCTAGAATTCAAAGTGTAAATTCTCCAAAATTATAGATTTGAGCATACCAAATATGGATATCCACATTCATAGAACAAGGCATTACATGCGAAATGTCTCCACCTGCCATTTGTTACAGATGCTGAATGTTGACTGCCGAACACTAACTGCCAAATGCCAAACACCATCCACAAAAAAGTTGGAGACCACAACAGTGGTGGTGACATAAAAATGAACTCATGAATTTTAAATTTAGAAATATTGAGACAAAACAATTCTGATATTAAAAATATTTCTCAGAATCTCTGATTTACTATGAATGCCTCAATTGAGTATTCTTAACTAAAAAGTGATAAAATATTAATTTACAATTACTGCTGTATTTTAATACACAAAGGTTTGGTGCTACAGTTGTATTTAAATACAAAAGGTTGTATCTTTGTGAATCATGCTACTTGTATTTAAATAAAAAGGTTGTATTTTGCTGACCAATGCTACAGTTGTATTTAAATACAAAAGGCTGTATCTTGCTGACCAATGCTAGTTGCATTAAATACAAAAGGTTGTATCTTGCTGACCCATGCTGCAGTTGTATTTAAATACATAAGGTTGTATCTAACCGACTCATTCAAGTATAAAAGGCAATACCTCACTCATTCAAATAACAGCTGTCTAGTGTATTTAAATAGAAAGTTATAATATCTTAAGGACAATGACATCTATGTTTTAAACATTGGCCTACTGTACAATTATGGCAGTCATGGTACCTTGACTAAAGTAGGTACTTTTAATCATCTGATAATAAAAATAATTTAGTAATTACTATAAGCACAATTTCATAAAAATATGACAAATCAGAAGTAGACAATTTATCCAGTCTACCTACAATAATCAATTTTCTTGGTAAGGTATAGTTTTTAGTTTTTTATATTGTCGCAGCTCCTTTGTATTTCCCTGATCCCTTTGTTTTGTCCTAGTTCCTTTATCTTTTTTCAAATTCTTTGTTTTGTCAATGTTTATTTGTATTGTCCTGATATAGTTCCTGGACTCCGTTGTTTTGTCCTAGTTCTCCGTTCTGTTTTTCAGTTTTAGTTTGCAATGTTTCAATTTATTAGCATTAATACATGATTATAGGCGTTAACAGTGTTCAACATACGATTTATGTGACGCTGGTAATTGATTTTCATAGACCACAGTTAAACATTGCCATGTAACTTTTCATAGATCTTAGTTTTAGTACTAGTAACAGTAACCTTTTGAGGTTGCGGCATGACTACTGACAGACCACAATACCTGTACTGTCAATACAGGTTATAACCTTGTCACAGTATCTGACCATGCTAGAGTACTCTCGTTTCTGACCATAACACAGTATACGATTATGCCACAGTATATGACCATATCATGGTATACAACCATGGCACATGATAGCATTATGGACCACAAAATATATAATCAATTACTACAGTATATGACCATACCACAGTATACAACCATGGCACATGATAGCATTATGGACCACAAAATATAAATTCAACTACTACAATATATGACCATACCACAGTATACAACCATGGCACATGATAGCATTATGGACCACAAAATATATATTCAATTACTACAATATATGACCATACCACAGTATACAACCATGGCACATGATAGCATTATGGACCACAAAATATATAATCAATTACTACAGTATATGACCATACCACAGTATACAACCATGGCACATGATAGCATAATGGACCACAAAATATATATTCAATTACTACAGTATATGACCATACCACAGTATACAACCATGGCACATGATAGCATTATGGACCACAAAATATATATTCAATTACTACAGTATATGACCATACCACAGTATACAACCATGGCACATGATAGCATTATGGACCACAAAATATATATTCAATTACTACAGTATATGACCATACCACAGTATACAACCATGGCACATGATAGCATTATGGACCACAAAATATAAATTCAACTACTACAATATATGACCATACCACAGTATACAACCATGGCACATGATAGCATTATGGACCACAAAATATATATTCAATTACTACAATATATGACCATACCACATTATACAACCATGGCACATGATAGCATTATGGACCACAAGATATATATTCAATTACTACAGTATATGACCATACCACAGTATACAACCATGGTACATGATTGCATTATGGACCACAAAATATCATTATGATGCATATTCAGTTTACATTTCAGCTACCACACCGCATATCTTTACTATTATAGTCTCCACTATTCATGTCATGAATCGCCCACTCCATTGATACCATGGTATGACATGCTGTAGCGCTGACTCACTGATTGGTTGGGATTCCATGATTTAAGCTCTCTCCTGTAAGTGAAGAAAAAAATTAGAGTAAATATTTGCAATGTTATATGCTATAATACTATTCTAAAATGGGTTGCATTAAACTGATTTTGAATAATTTCAATGTGAATTGTAGGAAACCAGAACAACGGCAACGCCAAAGCGTAGCGAATCCCATCGAACAGCCATGTGCCATGCTTATAGTATTCACATACCAAATATGAACAAAATCGCTCTACTACTTTTCGAGTTATAGTAAAATAAGTTAAAATGGAGGCCATCCATTTTTTAAAATGGCCGCCTTCTACCAAAAGTGTCATTAGACAGTGTGCCTTGCTTATAGTATTTACATACCAAATATGAACAAAATCGCTCCACTACTTTTCGAGTTACAGCAAAAATCGTAAAATAACGAGTAAAGGCCGCCATTTTTCAAGATGACTGCCATATGTGCTTCTTTAATATCTACATTTCTAGCTTTATTAATGTCCTACATAAATTTTTTACATTCAAAACATATTGCTATTACAGTTTTACATATTGCACCTAAATAACTGTAAAATCGGCACTAAAATGGCCGCCATGAGCGGGCATTTTGAAAATCTGCTATCGAGCAGAACTTCTACCCCCATAGGATACATGTATATGTGTACAAAATATGAACAAAATCGGGCCAACCTGTTTGAGTTATTGCCCGGATGGACAGACGTACGTACGTATGTACGTACGGACGGACGGAGGCATTCCCTATATCACTCCGAACTTCGTTCGATGGGATAATAACTTGGAGATAGTAAAATTTAATGTGGTCATTTCGTACAATATATATACCTTTTCATGTCTTCAGTGGCATAGCTGCTGCTAGGTGTACCTGAAGCACATTTAGCATCTGCGGCAAACTGGTAGACAATCAGGAGACAATCACGACATAACTGGACAATCCTTCGACAACATGACATCTCAAGAGGATCAATCACATCCGAACTTTTGCTGAATATTGTTTCCCATGATGCACTGCAAAACAGTTATACAATGAGCTTATTTCCATTTTGTGTACTAGCTGATTATTTCTTTCAGAATAATTTCCAATCACAAAGTTATTTTAAAACGATTTCAAAAGCATGCAGTATAATGAATCATTTCATCCTTTCCATGATTCAAAAGAACCAGAGAAAACTCAATCAATAAAGTCTAAATTATACTTTTGACAAAGAGGGAATCTGAAATATATTTGGAGGATTTGAAATCTTGAAATTGCGGTCTTCAGCGTACCTTGAAGCAGTTGAGAAACAGTTCCAGAGGCCTTGTCCATGGCTCCATAGTAATCTGTTGAACACACGGCTAAATATTCTGTATAATCGGAGGTTGTCAACATCTGTGCATTTGTATGTTCTTTGTAAGACAGCTTTTATGTTTGATCTGACAATGTCTATAACTTTACGTCGTTTTATACTGTCTAGTTTCACTAACCAATATGATGCTATCCGTGGCTTGTGGAACTTCCAGTTTTCATGAATCTGAAAAACATGATAAGAAAAATCATCTTTTAAACTTAAAACGGCTACAAAAATCATACTATAAAAATAACAGGACAATGGCAATGTGACACTTTTTCAAAGTGTGATAATAATACTTGCAAATACACAAAAATGAATCACAAGTATAAAATTATTCTCCTGATGAAAGCATTTTACATCTCTTCGAACACATAGTCAAATTGTTCCTGCAGCAATTTTAAGTAGTTTTGTACATATATCTTCAATTTGGCTACCCGGCTGTCTGAGATTTTTCTATTAAAAGAACTCTGCCACCATTTAAGTCTTGGTCATTTTTCTTATTTCAAAAGAAAGGAAATGAGGACTTGATGTAATCATAGTTTACCTTATCTAATATTATATCAGCCTCTTCATCAGTCTTTCCAGGGAAGCGTATCCTCATATCATTTATTGCCAGTAGAGTTGACTTCACTGCCTCATCATCTTCATCCTTATTGGTCATCTCCTGAAACATATCAGCACCATACATATAGAACTCAGAGTTTACGAAAATCATATTTGAAGCTTGCTCAGTTTATCAGATCTTACAAGAGTTTGCAATATTGTACTGCATTTGGGACTCATTGAATAAGGGAATACTCAACATGATTACTATAGCTTTTGAACCAAACATCAAAATCTTGCATTTAACAGTAAAAGAGTCTTACCAGTACAGATGTGGTTCTAGCAGAGCCATTACTCAGGCGACTGTTCAAAGGTCTCATGGCAGAGCTTGATCTTTGGTTGCTTTGTACAGTAGTAGGCCTGGAGAGACTAGGAGGGTTAGTGTCCTTGTTAGCATTTTTCCCAGACCCTGGCCTTCCATTCTGTGCTACTCCTCCACCCCGCATGGATATATTAGATGGGGGTCTAGTACGTAATGTAGAAGGCGCTCTTTTCTGATTCCGTGTGGCGATTTCATCAGGTTCATCATCTGAATCATCTTCTGAATCATCATCAGAGTCATTGTTTTTTCTGCTTTCCTGTACCCGGGTGGGCATGCCTATGAGAGGCTTTGGTCCTCTCACTCTTGTGGAAGCCATAGTCTTCCCTTCCATCTCATCAGCCTCACACTGGGCCAACATGTCCAAAACATCCTCTTCCTGCAATAAAATACAAGGGATTAAAATGAAAAATTTGTGGTAAGACAAAACCCAAATCTACATTCTATCCTACATTTAAGCTTTATCTTTTTTTCAAATCGTTTTTTCTCTGGGATTTCTGAAGCATGTTAAATCATACTAACCCTTAATTTATTGTTATATGTTCGCCTAAGCTCTCCCTGCATGTTAGTGCCCCGGGAGGCTAAGAACACTGTGAAGGCATCCTCCACAAGCTTGGCCATCTTCTCTCTCTTTAACCTGTCATCAGAGGGGAAGATCCTGTGAAAGCAGCCACATGCTCTGTTCTCAAAGTCCTCCCTTACTGATTCCTTCCTAAGACGTCCAAGTAGGTCTTTCTGGAAATTAGATATTTTGAACTGTTGTGAATAGAAATTTATATGAGGAGATCTATTTTTGAATAATAGTCCTATGTCCTAAACACCTATAGAAATAAACATCTATGGAAAAAACTGAAATATCTCATATTTTCAAACAAAAACAAATAAATAAATGAATACAGTAAACAAAAAAAACAATCAAATACTAGTAATCAATCAAATATAAATTAATTAATCATACGATTAAGTAATGAATCAGACTTGTTTACTACATGCCAATCATCCAAGCAAGCAATTAATCAATGAAACTGATAATCAGCTCAGCAGGTTAACAGTTCATATAAAATCTTATAAGAATGACGTCAGGATTTTATCATTCAAGCTAAATCTAAGGCTTATTTACAAGTATGGTGAAGGAAGCTTGTTTACCAATTTCAAATTGGTATTTTATAAAAGTGATAATGAGAAAGAATATCGGACCCCATATAGACCCCTAAAGTCAAGGTATTGTACATGTACAGCACTGCAATATTGTTCCCTTGTATCTATGAATTAAGCACCTCCCTTTCCATTTCCTTTTTGACACAATGCAGAATGAATATTCCGATGTAAATCAAACAAATATAAGAAAAGTAATGTAATTCAAAGGGTAAATCTTGAAACAGTCCCTGATTTTTTCCCTGGTCTTTAATGGAGAACCTGACCCCTTAATGGAGAACAACATACATGTAGGGGCTTGATGCAAGACTATGATGTCGTACATAATTTACTTACTAATTCATTTTTTCTCCTCTCCACATTTTGTCGTTTCTTATCTAACTCTGACATATCCATCTCTGCACGCTTGGTTGGCCTTAGCAGCCTTCTTTGAGCCTCTGCCTTCTGGGCTGCCATGTTCTTCTTACGATCGGAAGATCTGTTTACAGAAAACATATGCGTTAAAATATCAAAATAATTTAAAAACATTTCATGATAATGCATATGCATACATGTATGGTCTCATAGTATTATATGCTAGATATAGTACCCTGAATTCTCAAGGATAGGGCAAACTACCCTCTCACTATTACAACTGATTTACAAAAATCTAGGTACCTCTTGAAATTTTTGGAAACAAAATAAACTAAAATATACAAATCTACATCGGGATAACCACAAAATCTTGCATATTCTGAAAGGGAAGTTACTCCAATCCAATTTATTTAATTACACAATGTCTCTATTAAAACCATCAATCTTTGTCATCCCAGCGATTTAAAATAATACATTCAATTACGCAATAATGGATCTGATAGTGAAATCTTTTTTTTGAGTTTCAGATTCATCAAAATCTGACTCAATAGATCTAATTCTCTCTAATGATGTCATTCCAGGTATTAGGTAATGATTGATGTCAGGCCAAGAAAATAATTACATGTCAAATTAAGACTATGTCAGATATATTTTAGTCAATATTCCTAGCAGTTTCGCACCAAGAACAATGGGACAACAAATAAACTCTCAGACTCTTTTACATGAATTTGAATTAATCTAAGTATCATAGACACTAATTACTATTTCTTGTAAATAATTGTTTTATAACTTAGATTATGTGTACAGAAAAACACAAATAAACATTGCATTGAAAATGCAAATGTGATACAATATTATTCTAACTATGAAAAATATTTTCCTTTTATTTTTCTGAAGTAAATAGAGTAAATATCATTCAGTCTAGAACTGTAACTTGATACAACACAATAGAACAATTTATCAAATGGCAAACATTTACAATATGGACCAGTAAATACTCAGATAATGGTTTAGGTAAGTAATAAATATGGTGTATTTCTTTAAACATCTTAAGTTTAACAAGTAAACATTGATACCCTCTTAAACCAAGGTCATAACTCTGTAACATAAGCAAACACAGGAACCTTGCTATGTAAAAACAGCAAATAATATTTCCAAGATAAGTCTACAAGCAGTCATAGACATTACTTTGTAGACATACATGTAACCAGGGCCATACTTGTCATTAGGTGAATTTAGTGTGTAGTATCATCAGAGTTATTTAAACCCCCTCAAGTTAAGTCCCAAAATAATCATGCTTAATTGAAAGAATCTGTTTGATGGGACAAAACATACATTGTCAATTTACTTACTTTATATTAAGTAGTCTAATGGTATCCCCAATCACACCAGACTTGATTTCATAATCAATCTTTTCATCAGTCCCAAAGCTTGGTGACCTGTTAACCTACAAATAAATCATTATCTTATCAATTCTGAGTTACCTCGCCCCAATGGAACAATAAACAAGGCATTAATATGCAAAATGTCACCACCTGCCATTTGTTACAGATGCCAAACACTGACTGCCATTCAATTCAAAAAAGATTTACTTTTGATGTATACATGTTTGTGCATCTACTTTCAGTTGAGTTATTGACCAAGGCTTTACTATCACAAATTACTGTCTTTTATCAGTTTAATACCTCAGCTATTGCCACAAAGTTATATATACATGTACATGTTCTGTTTATAATTACCACTAAATATGGAAAAAAATACTACAGAATATATATTTCTTGAAACAATGAAACACGCACTTCTTTATAGTAAAATAAGATCATCTACAGCAAATATATATTATTTTAGGCCAATCAATCTTAACAGGCTTCTGTTTTGACACAATTCATAACTCTTTACTTATTTTTATATTCAATAAATTGCATAAACATATCATAACCAGGATGTGCAGTTGTGCCAAATTAACCCATATACTGTAATTGACTGAACACAAACATGTTAATTTGAAAAATTGGAAAGATCTGGACAGATCTATTACATACTAATAAATTGAATTACACTTCTAATTGACAAATCATATTGGAATATTTTGATGATGGAACTAATGAAATAAGCAAGGAATTCATCTCCAGGAATATAGCCTATGTAACAATTGTTACGGAATCACAATTGAATCACAAAAAATGGTGGCTTAATATGTCAGAACTTCCTGATCAGACCATATCATATGTCAGATGTTACAGTTCTTGATGTAACCAGGTTACGTCAACAGGACATACTGAATATGGAAATCCTCTCACCTCTATCAACCAAGGCTTTAACTTCCTATCTAGCATGACATCAAATCCTAGCAGTTCAAAACATACACTGTCACTGCCAGGTACCTGCCCTGGCCGACACATCCTGTACGCATGTAACACATGGGGGGCCGCAACTACTAACGTCTTTACTAACATTTCAGTGATTTTGGTCCACATGTGACGCACGTCATAGTCATTTTTTCTTAAATAATCATTAAAATATTTCAGCGACCTCTTGCTTCCAGTCTCTACTGAGCCACTTTTTTCATAGTTTTCACTGTGTTTGTTCACTGAGTAGTTAGTTAGATGCATAAATAAGGTATCCTGAAAATGAAAGAATAGTTCAATAAGTTTGGTAAGTATCTATAATTTCATCTTTTATGGGCCCGTTATCCATTTGACTGGTTGTTTATGCTCTACCTTTTCTCCCTTTGTTTTGGAATAATTTTGATATGATATACAATAGCCACAATACATACATGTCTCAACTAATTCTTGGATTTAAAAAACTTTTCTCCCTATCTTATATTTTACATATTGCATATTCTTTTCATATTTAAAATAATCAGATTATCTACATGTAGCTATAGCCAATTTATTGACAGCTCAACTTACGATATTGCTGTCCGTCGGATGTGTATATTTTTCTGTGCCCATTCTCAGCAGTCCATCATTGTAGAGGAACAGTCTCAGAGGGTCACATGACGTTACAAGGACATAGATTCGGAGATCACATTTATAGCCATCCACGAGGAAAGGCTTGTCAATATATTCTTGAACTATTATGTGATCATTTTGTGGAATTTTCTCAGCATTACGAAACAACTGGATCCTACAAAATTATATTTTTTTCATTATGAATGGGTTCATGCATTTATCTCATCACAAACTCCATTGCATGTACATGGTATGTACATTTTTAGGTTCCCTAGTCCAAAAATGCCCATTAAATGTTAAACTCATGGGCGCCCATTTCATGTTAACTCATGGGTACCCATTACAGCTGGTTAAACCCATGGATGCCCATTACATGTTAAACTCATGGGTACCCATTACATGTGAAACTCATGGTTGCCCATTACAAGTTAAACTCATGGGTGCCCATTACAAGTTAAACTCATGGGTGCCCATTACATGTTAAACTCATGGGTGCAAATTACATGTTAAACCCATGAGTGCCCATTACATGTTAAACCAATGGTGGAGATTTTGAGATTGATCTGGTATCTGATGTAGCATTTGGATGTAATTATAAATCATATTATATACGGCTTACCCATTTCCCATAGCACCATTGGCAGGCTTGACAATATATGTTTTATGTTTTTTCTTCTTTTTCAAATCTTTGGCATAGTTTTGGAAAGCACTGTACTCAGATGGAAATATCCATGACTTAGGTACAAAGTCAAACTCCTCAGGGTGAACCTTGGCCATTCTGAAATGACGAAAAGAATGTGATAGGCATGCGCATATTGTTAAAACTGAACCTTGGCCAACCTGAAAAAATGAGAATAAACCTTGGACATTCTGAAATGATGAGAACAAAGGTTGGCCATTCTAAAATGATGATAACATTAATGGGTGCGTGTATTATGCTAAATACACAAAACCTTGGCCATTCTGAAATGATGAGAACTATGATTAGCCATTCTAATATGATGACAACATTAATATGTATGTGTACATGTAGGGTGGTGCCTGGGTTATTGTCTTTTCTGACAAGTCCCCTTATTGCTCATAAAGTTTGGCATGTCAAAGTTCTTACTTCATCATGTTTCTTGCAAGACAATCCTTTCTGCATATCTCCCCCATTCCTGGGAAATGGTTGACCCTCTGGAATGGCTTCAGATCTGAGATCTTCTCAGTGCTCACAAAACTGTCATTCCAGATCAGATAACTGCAAGCAGAAATACTACTTATATAGAAACTGATAATACTAGAAATGATTATAAAGAAAGTCAGAGCTTACATGGTTTCATGGGGATACAGTTACATAACAATGTGTTCAGATGAGGTTTTCACATTAGGATTATAGGGTGAATCTAGAAATCAACAATTTTCAAATATTTTACCCATTTTCTCAAAAATTAAGCCAATTTTCTTAATTTTCCAAATATCAATCATGACTTAATGTTGGTAGTTTGACTGTAATGGTATCTGCTCAGTCATATGCATCGATATATGCAAATAGAAATATGAACACCTCCATACAATGACCTACATTTTTGAGGTTTCAGAACTTCATTTATATCAATAACTATCAATGTAAACTCACTTAGCTGGTTCCTGAAGTATAAACAATGGGATAGAACAGTAGAACTTGCCTGTATACAAACAAAATCAATAGACCACGAGAGCACACTATATTTCTATGAGTACAATATAAGGAGACAAGAATCCTAAAGTAGCATTCAATAATTAATGATGAAACCCTACTCTATACATATTGTACTAAAACTTGTTGTTGGTACTTGAACCTACCATCCACTTTTGATTCACTTTTTGATAAGTCAAGAATATATGATTAATGCATTCTGCCCAGCTATGCATGAATGAAATATTATGCACTCTGAGACCTGGATTGATTGAACTCTATTGTTTTAATTAACTTTAAGCAGACTTACTTTAGAAGTACAGGACAGGTGGATATCTCTACCCCTTGAATGTTTGTACATACCATTCATTTTGGATTCACTGTGTTTTGATGTTTTGAGGCTACTGCCTGCCATGCATAATTTGAAAAATAATGCACTCTGACCCAGATTGATTGAACCCTCTATTCTATTAATCAACAAACAGCCTTAAAAGTACCGGATAGGTAGTGATTTCTCAGTCTATAGAAAGAAAAGAATGTTACTTGATAAATGTTTTGAAATATATCTCTTTAAATGGACATTTTCAAACATTATCTCTTGAATACCTTATTCTCTAATGGATTTGAAACTGATGTATTTTGCCAATTTGTGTAAAATGAATTATGTTGTCCAATTATTTGCAAAAATTCTCTGACAGATACATATGTTGCTTCTGGCTCAAGGGCATTTAACTTGTGATGCAAATATCGTTATATGGAGTAATGTGATTTTAAGCAGCAATAGAAAGATGATCTATTCCATTTGTATTGCCTCTTGGGGAAATCTAGAAATGACAGATGAGGAGCAATATCTTCCCTCTTGTTCAATAGTGACGCTAATAAAGATGTTCATTCTGATTTATGAAAATATATCTATCATGAAATAGCACACTATAACATACTTTACAACCATCAATACATCATTTATTTGTGACTCCCCTATAATGGTTCATCTAACCTTTGAAACACTTTGTGTTTGATCTGATGGCCTGATGTTTTACCATGAAATATTTGTCAATTTCCTGACCTGATAGATATCTTTTTATTTCTTAAATATATGTCCATGTTTTAAAGACATAGATTAGACTGTGCCTCTTTAAAGATTATTTAAATAGACTGGGTACAGGCATTGTTCTTTTGTTTTCTTGAACTCTTTTTACTTTAAATTATATATGAGCCTCCTCTCGAAAGCACATGAATTATGCAGCTCCTGCCTGCCTCAATATTATTTAATTTCAGGAAAATTGGTCAGAGTTAGAAAGGTCGCGATGACTTCATTTCAATCTCATTCCAAATCAAAACACTGCTATGTCAGCAAGTGGATTAATCAATTCGATTAAGTACTTTTTTCACCTCAGGGAATATCAGATGCGAAACATAAGTGCTTTACAAGGTTAATCAATAGTGCCCCCATTGCGGTTTATCTTTGCCAAACCCTGCACAATAGCTTGCTTCAGTACATACTCTAAAGTTTAAGATAATTCTGTGATCCATCCTTTATCCCATCAGAATATGTCATCAGCAAATCAATTAAGACACTACATATTTACCTATAGGTTACTGACACTCATTACACAGTTAAAGTCCTGTATAAGTTCATGAAAGATATGTGTGAAATAATTTTGATCTTTGCATCAATACTAGGAAATTGTTTAAAAAGACAAAGGGTAGCTATAGTGATGGAGATTCAGTATTTTTATTTTATTATTCAACATGTCACTACTGCTAGACATATCATACATTTGTTGTATTTCATAGACATTCTCAAGATTCCAAAAATTGATTCCCTAGATGGTATAATCCATAAATGTATTCAATCTTCAGTTCTTTCATTAAATAAGGCACACGATGAATTAAGGTATTGTAGCTCACTTTGATATTTTTAGGCACAAGATCCATACTAGATTTGGATATCATTTCAATGTTGTCACTCAAAATGTAATTAATGAAATAAAAAATTTAGACTAATGCTCCCTAACAACATGTAAAAGTCTTTACCCCTTCCCAAAACATAATTCATTACATTTGTGGACTTTAATGTTTATATACATATTATCAACAAACATATAATAATCTTGTATAATATCGACTCAAAATTGACATATCGAAGAAATATGACTCTACTCATTTTCATCTTTTATAAAATATTTGTCATTAGTTTTTCACTGTACTATAATTAAAACGAAGCATGTGACCATTCGAGATGGATTGATGAGGTCAATTGATCAGATTAAAGATTAAGGACAAGAGGCTCAGAAAATAATAAATGATTCTGGAAATACTCTTAGAAACTCAAAAAGGGCTCAACTAGGATTCCAAAAGATGATGCTTTATAGCCTATTAGACAGCCGATGGATAATTAATAATTAGACTTAGAATTAGAATAATTTTCACACAGTTTTGTTAAAAAAAAATTGGCAATACCTTATAACTTGTACCTATACTCAAACCTAAGTGGGTAATTTGAAATATGGCCTCAGAAAACAGACAGTCATGTTAGGGCTAAATATTTGAATGGAACCAGGTACGATGTACTTAAAGCACTTCAGGAAGACTTTACAAGTTTCACTTGCGTTATGAACAATGAATTATTCTTCATAAAAATTCTGATAACTTGTCAGATTCAAGGTTACTTTAAATAAGTTACAATTAGTATTTGTTTGGTAAGTTGGTAATTGTATACTTTATCAAAGCTAACTTAAGTGTACCCATAGTGGAATATTCAAGCTTGCATTAAAAGGAAATTCTATCCAAATAAAAGGTTTATGTGACCTTTAGAGGAATTGCTTAAAGTCAAAGAATAAAAGAAAGCATAAGGATTGTTTACATTTTCACTGTAGTCTGTGACACCCTGTCAACATTGAAATGAATGATATTTACCACATTTCAGATAACTATAATAACAATAGATCAGTAGGTCACACATTGTAATCAATCACTGAGAAAACATATGTTTGATGTAAATGAAACCCTTTTCATATCTGATAGTCCAAAATGTGAATGTTGTTGCTATGGAGTTATGTCAATAAAGAAAAGAGTTTAACTTTCTTAATAAGAATTACCAGTCGATGAACTTATTTAACTATTTAATGAAATTAAGAAAAGATAAATTATATGCGTATACAATTTCAGTTTGCTAGACAAATAGTGATATTATGTTGTCGTGAAGAGAGGTATCCATGGAAAAAGTTACATATGCTAGTTATATGGTAGTTATACCTTTATATGTTTTATATGTTTATATGGTATTATTTCTGTCTAGAACTCATTTCAGTCAAAAGGTTGTTTTACTGAATAAAAATACTCAAAGTAAAATTACACCATTTTTATGGCTATCAATAATCTTAAATGTTTTTTCCCATAGATTTCAAGGAATGTCAAGTTGGCCGCTCAGATCAGATTAGGCGTTAGATTTCTAATGGAAAGGTTAACAATACTGCATTTCAATCCCAGTGAGACCCTTACTTAATGGATTGGTTAAAGATTGAATTTTCAATGACAATAGCAAGTGAGAAATGTGTCAGTTGGTGCTGTATGGTACAATAATAAAGTATTGTCAATCAATAAACAATAGCAATATATCCGTCCTTATTCACTGCTCATAAATATCCAGGTATACCCTACAATAGTGCTTTGTATCCTCTACCAATAAGTTTCAGAGGATAAAGAACTACTGGGGAACAAACAGTCAAAGTTGCATGATCTTAACAGTCAGACACAAACTTCATGAACTTTCTTTGTAAGAACAAATTAAGAGAACATGTAGAAATTTCATTGTTTACTGGTTGAGCAAATCAAGTGGTTTGACATTGACTGATTAAACAAGGCTAGATATGCCATGCACTTTGTTAATGTGTGATACGATATCAACATATCACTTACTCTCAATTAATTATGAAACCTGATAACATTTTGCAGAGTTGGAATAGGTAAAATACACTCACCAGTTAGGGTCATCATCCTTTCCTACTGTTATACCATTGGCTTCACACATCTGTCTCACTGAAACATATACAAATGAATACACATGAAATATATATGTACCAAAACGCATTATGTTCAACATAAAATGGTAATATACAAAGCTCAAGGAAACCATCATTTAGTTAATAAACTACCATCATTCTCAATCCTAAAAGAACACTTCTTTCTATATTTATCTATTTTAGATGAGATTTAGCTTACCAATATCATATCTTGTGCCGCTAAGATTAACAGTTATTGGGGTTTTCTTTTTCTTGGCCTTTTTCTTCTGTGAAAGTGCCCTGATGTGTTCTTCCTCCTCTTCATCAAGAGCAACTTTGTTACTTCTGGCCCTGTCATTTGCAGCCTCTCTGTGACTATGATGGGATAACTGAGAAATCTGACGTGGAGATTCTACAACAAGAAATTAAGGGAAAGCCTCAGCATTGAACAATTGGGTAAAAGGAAACTTTGAAAACTATATAATGTTTTGTTGATTATTGCTCAAACGGATCACATACATGTAGACTTCAACATTACTTTGCCTTAAAAGCTCTTGACTGTATTTGAAATCCTAGTGTTAGAATGATATTGCCTTTAATAGCAGCATTATTTATTGTTCCTTTTTGACTAAATGTACATTAATAAATATTTATGAATACCTCTTTCCTGAGCCAATGAGCCAACTGAGTAGTTTGTATTGCGACTAAGGGAAGGCATCGCAGTTGCACCTGTTAGTTTGCTTCAGTTCGATCACTCAGTTTAGGCTAAAAGAAACAATCGGAATGTTATACATGTAAGTACCAGTGTATGCCCTAAGGATTCCAGAGCTGCTGGTCAAAAAGGCATTACTGACCAGTTGCAATGTTATTTTCCTATACCTAGTGAAAAAATCAACTGGTCAGTATCAAAAGTAACCAGATAATGACCAGCTGTCCGACGCTTAAGGCGTGCCCTGGTAAGTAGGGTACATGAACTTATGAAGTGTACTCTAAACATGTACAGTTAACAGGTTAATAATATAATATTCATTATTCCAAAATAATAATCTGTTTTTCTTTGGAAATAAACAGGGAATAGAATTGAAAAAAAATCCTGTATCAGATTCGTATCAGAACTACATGTATTCCTGCACTTGAAAATGAATAAGTTTCAGAAATATACTTCCATATACTTTTGCGATTTGCTTGTTTTTTAGATTCAAAGTTATTACATGTACTAGCCTAGTCTAACATCTGAGTCAAAATGTTTGTAAGTGATTTGATTTAGAAAGATAAAGAAAAAGATATGATATCAGCAGGCCTGCCGACTATCCTACAATATGCATATTTGTCAAACATTAATTTGCTGAAGAAATTAAAATGTTTTAAAATAAAATGTGGCCAAGCGGGTGGGGTTCGCCCCAAGAACTTCCCTGTCTACGGGCCTTGATATTAACCACATATCTACTCTTACCAGTACATGTATGTTCTGTGTTCTCCCGTATCCTAGGTTACATTGTGAAACTCAGCCAATAATGACAGTGAAGGCAGTTTTCTCAGGAAGAAGAATTGAATCAAAAAAAAACATTTCTATTCGTTGTTGAAATCTCATAGCAGTTTGTTCAGAGCAATCCTGCCTCATTCCTTCATCGAACCACAAGATGAAGTAGTACATTTTGATGGGAGCAAGTGTTTCTTAGTTGGTCATGAATGCCATATGTGAAAAGCATTGTTCAGAATTTTCGAATTTTTGTACATTAATCTGAGAATGTTTATGAAATATATATTTCTAATACAATAGACATCTTTTGTAACAGAGAGATTTGTGTTAGAAACTTACGAGAATCTTGAGAATTTCTCCTAACCTCTGTATATTGGAAAACCCAACATAATTATATGTGACTTTTGCATCCCCGGGAATTTAATGACCAGCAGTAAGGTTATATGCAATGAACAAAATGAGACAAGATTGCTCTGAATGAACTGCTAGGAGATTTCGAAAAATGAAAATATTTTTTTGATTCAATTTTTTTCTGAGAATACTTGTACATGTACTGCCTTCACTCAGAGACATATAAAACATGTTTGGCTGAGTTTCACAATGTAACCTAGGGCGCACAAGGACGGAGAACATACTGGTAGATTTAACGTATGCTACGACCCCACTTACATTGTTAAAGTCCTAGAATTGGATAACTGGTAGCCTATCATTCCTTTTTCTAATTCAAATCTCATTCAAACATTTTGATTCATACTTTAGACTCACAGTGAGCACCATCAATCTTCATAGACGGTGCTGACTATGTTTAGACTGTAAGACTAGGCCTAGTGCTGGGCATTGTGTCCTTACAGTACGACATCAAAAACTACCTACAGCGTAAATCTAGAAGCTAGAATCTGGACTATTGAAAAAGAACAAGTGAGAATGAGAAAGAAAAACTTCAAAAAGAATTCCGGAAAGAAATATGAACATTCTCTCTAGACTTTTCAAGCTTTCAAATGACTGATGTAATTATAAAACTTAGGCTACTTATGTTACCTTTGGTAGCTGTAATGGGTCCATAATTATGAGTCTTTAATGGTTTAAAGTAAACATAATTCCAAAACTCGAACAAAATTCAAAATATTTTGCAGGCGGCCATCTTGCTTGCTTGATCACGTGATATAGCCTCCTCCATAACAACAGTATTGTTTCGTGTAGTGTAATATCCCCGGGGTAAGTTTTATTTGAAATCAACCGGGTGAACTGTGTTGACGGTTATTCGTTGCGATAGATAATTTCCAACAATATAACATGTTTTTGAATCATTTGATACATAAAACGCGGATCTTAAAATGACAAGGAGCGCAATTTATTCAATCACATTTAGTTTAACTTCGTTTAGGCCTTTGCCATCTGGGAATCATGACTATTCCAAGGGGCTATCATGAGGAATTTCATTCAGAAAATGTTGTTGGAACATGATGTTAGTTATTTTAGAATAATGAAGTTAACAAATCAAATTGAAAAATTAATTGCATATAGGTTGACCACTGATTATAAAAGTTAGTACAGTGAAACCTGTAAAGTGGAACACCTCTAGAAGTGAAACACCTCTGTTAGTGAAACACTTCGGAACATATTTGAGAGGTATCAAAAGTGTTCCACTTAGACAGGTTTTACTGTACGTACGTTCCAGCGTGGGCTTTCAATAGAATGCCCATGGTTTCATGTTGATCAATAGCAGAATGAAAATGACACTATATAGGAGTTAGTCTACCCTCTCAAACTATTATTTTTCATCATACACTCTCCTCTCAACGTTTGGTAACACCAACCCCGAAAAATAGAAAGATAAATCGATGAGAATACTTTCTTTTTTGACATTAACTTTTTCCGAAAATTGAGAAAATGAAAGAAAATGTTACAAAATTACCATAAATATATTTTATATATTTAGCTTCGGGATTCCATTATAAAAACGATGTCAAAAACAGGAAAAAATTCCCAAACAATACTTAAGATCTTAAAGGATAATGGTATAATAGAAAATGGTCAGGGTAAGACGACTTCAACAAAGAAGATAATGAAGGGGCAAGCTCTGGAATTGTTTAATGGTAAATACGGTTCACACAGATTGTGATTTGTACAAAATAATAATTTATTAATAAATTAATGGCATCTTTACAAACTAATCAAGCATCTAACAGTTCCCAGGTTTAGGGGTAGAGTAGTTGTTGTTTCCAAGACAAATCATGCTTCCTAGACATCTGCCGAATGAAATTGTATCACCTTTACCATAGACCCGACCGTTGTACCAACATCCAGTTTGTCCATCAACACTTCTTTTACAATTCCCTGGTTTAGGGGTAGAGTAGTTGTTGTTTCCAAGACATACCATGCTTCCTAGACATTTACCAAATGAGATGGTATCCCCCTTTCCGTAGACCCGACCGTCGAAATAACATCCAGTTTGTCCATCGACGCTTCTTTTACAATTTCCGGGCTTTGGAGGGGTGAAGTCGTTGTTTCCAAGACAAACCATGCTTCCAAGGCATTTACCGAACGAGATGGTGTCCCCCTTTCCATAAACTCGGCCGTCGAAATAACATCCGGTTTGTCCGTCAACGCTTCTTTTACAGTTCCCAGGCTTTGGAGGGGAGTAGTTGTTGTTTCCAAGACATACCATGCTTCCTAGGCATTTGCCGAACGAGATTGTTTCGCCTTTTCCATAAACCCGCCCATCGAATAAACATCCGGTTTGGCCATTATCTGAAATAAAAGTTCGTGTACAGTGATATCGTCCTGGCATGACAGAGCAGTAATAGAGTTCACATCTGTTACGATCAGAGATTAGCATGGAGAATGGTTCGGAGCAACATGCATTGCCATTAATGTTATTGAAAATAAGTGGATCAAGGCAAGACTAGAAATAGGCACAATCATCACAAACCATGCCATAAAAGATGTGATACCTACAATATGACATTTTTACAGTTCGATCTTAAAAATCTAAAAAATGTAATATTTCTGTGAGGCATACGCCTCGCCTCCCTCATACCTACCTATCTAGTATCTACGTACATCCACTATTACCCTTTGCATTCGTTTGACTTGGCTTCTAGTTATGCTAGAGCTAAACCCTCCCAATGGTTTACCACCAAGATTGAACATATCAAGAACTCAAAATAATCATTTTGACGATATTTTTATTATAAACTTCAATTTTTATGATAAAATTGAATAAAACATGATAAAACGAGAAATGACTTTGAACATTTCAGTCTTGCTTTTCAAATGTTCTGTTCACTTACAGTTCACCTTACTTATTGCTGATTTTGAAAAATACAACTTATGACATCACGTTAGTCAATATATCGAAGTTACTCTGATTTATCTAAATCTGGCAGGATTTATCGGAAAGATCAAAAGTCTTCCAGTCTCAACTCTCAAATGGCAACTTATCATATGCGTAAAATAATAATGAAAGATATTTTAAAAATGATATGGAATACGAATTAATTTAGTAAAAACGCTCTTCCAATGGACTAGGTTTATTTTCAATGTCATACTAGTATTTTACGTAACGTTAAGTGTAGTAAATCATTGTAATCAAAGGATCCTCAATTAAATTGTGTTCGATAATAAAAGTTTATAATTTATTTTGTCTTCATATTTCTAAATATAGAAGACAATTGAATATTCCTTGTATAAGAATGGGTTGCATCTTCGTTCACTCGGCACCCGTCGGTCGCAGTGAAGACCGAGCGTGCGAAGATGAATGGGTTGCAGAGCAAGTAATAATATAACACACGTCGTTCAAGCAAGGATGTTAATTTCTTCAAATAATGAGTTCAGTTACATCTATATATACTTCACCTTTAATTGAGGCAGCGTCAATGGACACCAAAGCACCAATGCACAAGCATAATCCAAATGTGACAAGCTTCATCATATCGTATAATGTGTTAATGTTTATGATCTAAGAAAACTGAAGGAGAATGAAATACACAATCAATTTTATTTATACGAAATGTAAGATATTCACGCGTGTGATATTATGTATATATTGTCACATCTCACGTGGATATGCATTACTTTGATTAAGAATGATAAGATTTGGTAGGTTGTGAAATGTACCATCTGATTGCTCAAAGTCCCGATAGAGATAAAGACGATGGCCATATAGATGCACGAAATATATATTGCTCAAATCATAGACTTTTTTATGTTGCATTATGTGCGTTGCGAAGAGAAGTGTCAAGTCATTATCTTGGCTGATTATAGTATTCGTTGACAACGTCGATCCATTTAAGAGAGGTGCAATCTGTTTAATTGTAATTATTACTCAATTAGATGACATCCAGACGGTGTTTCGAGAATAGCCTACGATTATTTGAAATGAATTTAATCATGCCATTGGCAACGTGATCAGTAGCGATGAGGAGTAGAGGAAATTAGAAACACACTACCTTCTATTAGTTGGAAACCGATTTCCCATTGACCTGTGTAATGTGTAAGGATGTGTTGAGCGCTAGTTATGCCCATTCTGATACTCATCGCATCTTTCTGCCTTCAATTAGAAATATGATTCTAGAAAGAAGCTTATAGAAGGCAATGATTTCCCATGATGAGTTATGCCCTGTGTCGTGTACATTGTAATAGGTTCAGGTACCTCTTCAAAAATAAATATAGATAATTTTTAAAGGATTGTCTGTCAATCTCTAAATACAATTGCACATTCGACATATATGGTACATAAAATCCCAAGATTTTATAATTAGTAGTGCAATATATATTTTGATAATCGTGCTGGTCATTATGTTTTATGAACAATTTATATGTTACCCTGAAAGTAGAGGCTAAACGCAATCATACCTTAATGAAGCTCAGAGTTAAAGGCGAAATGAGAATTTTGAAAAGGATACCAGAAATCGTTCCGAAGCTTTGTGTAGTCGCAGTGAGACAATGACACAAATAACTATGGATATTTCAATAATCAGGTCAGAAAGTGACAAGTGACATTTTTATCCCCCTGTTGTGCCATCAATATTCAACTAATGTCATAAAAGTGGCGTACGGATTTCATTTTGAATGGTTAACCCTTCTGTAAATTCTCCCTGGGATTGTTCATAGACATAGTAAATAGGAACCGTCAGTTAGTAATTTTTATCGTAGAAGATGTGATATTTATATTGTAATGGAGCGAGGTTTCGCTAAATGTCTCATCTGGTTGTTTCATAGAATACAACAATATACTAATTGTCGATTGCCAACTCTTATGTTAAGGTAGTTCAGCACGATGAGCAATTTAAGGTGATTTTCATGATTATTAATGACCGAAAATTTCTAAAATGGTAAAACGCATTTATGACGACATTTGTAACCACATTTTGGAAAAATACAGAATAAGTTATGAGATAGAATTTAAATGATTTTTTGTGAAGATGCTTCCTCAACGTGTTGATTTGTTGATCGTTAAAACAAAGTTAATATTTAGCCGGAGGAGAAACGTTTTTAGCATGTAGTGATATCAGGTTTTTAAATGAGCTTTTATAAATTATTTTAGCATTCAGAAAAAAACCATGATGCAAAATATTGCTAACTGACTGATTGCCCCACTGTACGTCTAATAGCTTATATAATGTCAAAGAGTAAAAAGGCGAGTAGATCCCAATTATTCTACTGTCTTTTTTTAAAAGCCCTTTCTCTCCCCCGGGGACTAATTAGGCTAAAGTCATCTCTATATCTTGATTATTATTTCCCTTTCTTATTGCAGACAGCCGTTAGGTTTATATTACTTACAATTTACAAGTTTAGAATTATAGATTGCTCACTTAATTGTTGTCGAATAAAAAAACATTCGCAAAAGGAGTTTGATATATGAGCTTATTAGACCAACTTTCATTGCTTTGCCTTCTCAAAGCGTTGATTGACAACGAATGCTAGGGATGAAGATGCTGAATCACCTTACCCGAAGATGAGTGGCACTGCAGCATCATATGGTAGCACTGCCAACTTAGTAGGATGCCTAATGTAGAACATTTCTTCTGTGATCTTCTATAGTGTAAACATAGACGCTATATGCATTTTATTATCTCCAGAATAAGACTGGGTGTTTTCATTTCACTTTGGAGTATATTCACAAGTAGAGTGATCATCGGAAATGAACGTTTGGAATTTTAAAATTTGAAGGTCGTCATAGTTACCAGAAAATCAAAATGGTAAGTTTTTATATTAATATATTTCATGACTTAAAATAAAATTAAAAAAAAAGTTGCATTTGTTTTGACCTTCACGCCTGATAGTTTTAGACAGATGGAATATCATGAACAACTTTTTCTGCAAAAACATCATTTGAAATAAGACATCGAAAGATTTTATTTTGTATTTTACAGGTCAATTCTTCGCAATTGAATTAATAATTACACCATTAGTTACCGTTGAATGAATGAATCCTAGATACAACAACTCCTTTCTCTAGTAAATTACATAAACTGCCTATGCCTACAATAAACTCCATAAAATAGACTGAAATAGCAGCAACTTTGAGTGAAACATGAATTATTTTATTGGAGGAGATAGTAATGTGAAATCATAAATCATACATAGTACAACTTGATCAATTGGCCTCGTATTTCTCTGCAATAACGTGGGAATCACATGTGAATCTTTCTATCCTTAAACAAATTTGTCTTGAACAGCAGTGAGTGATGATTTCCAAGATGTTTTTGAGCGGAATTTAACGTGTTTAAGTCAATCGTGACATTTAGGAATGTGCAATTTTTCACGGTTTTAACATTTTCTGCTTCAATTAGTTAAAACAATGCGTGCTCCTGGGGGTCTTGTTGTTATTGGTTAGGTGATGCATGGAGCTTACGTAAACAAGCGTTAAGCATCATGAAAATGCCCATTTTTAAACATGAACAATGTAGGCCCAAACAATACGATGCTATTAGGGATAAGTAAAGATATGCATTGCGTAACAGTGTTACGAATGTGCTTGTGACAGCTTGAATCTTTAGAAAAAGTTGCTCAATGCAGGTCGAACCGTCCAGTTACATCATATAGAATAGAATAGATTTCTACTTATGTCAGTGATGAAATACAACATTTTATTCATGATCTCCGAAATGAGAATCTACTTTAAACTGATGAAATAATGTAGTATAGGGAATAGAAATTACAACATATCGAGATATCAGTTCAATAAATAATATCATATGTCTATTTGATCCATCGGCTCCCGAAGGAGTTGCAACGTGTTACAATTAATAATACTGGTGCAAAAAGAGTACACTTGGCATAAGTTTGACTTCACTTCTTATAAGAGAGCTCCGTCTTCTGCGCACAGGGTACAAAAAGAGCCGAACCAATGAGAAAACGGCCAATTTGCTTACGTTCTTCCTGCTCTACAATTTTGATATTTTTTAATTATTTTAATTTTGATGTAATTTTCCGTACAGTAAAACTTGTATATCCTAACACCTCTCTAATCTGTTCCCCTCTCATCCCGAACGCCTTTTCGGTCCCTTTTTTAATACGCAATGTAGATTTTAACATTTAAAATCAGCAAAATGTGAACACATACCAAGGGCGTTACAATACCCGGGAATTTATCGGTTCGTGCAGTACTTGTTTGTGATAGCGCCATCTGCAGGTCACTGTGATTATAGCCTACTAAGAGGAGGGAAAACCCCATGATTCAATTGATGACATACGATTTCCTCCTTCGCGCACCTCGCTATCTTGGTTTTCAAAGTTTTCAAATTGACCTAGTTTTAAACCAATCAACGATCGACTCGCTAAACCAATCAGCGACTATGTCATCTCAATACAGATTTACATTATAAGCGTATGTCATCTTTGAACCCTGGGGTTTCTCCCCCTCTTTAGCCTACTTGATAATCACATTTATGCGTGCGCGCGCAGCTCACCCACTGAACGAAACGCCACTTCCCGCTGAAATCACCGGGTATTGATTTTTCCCTTGCACATACCAATAAATACATTTCTGACCGGTCCTGGAGGTGTTCTCTTTAGAGAAATTTAACTGTAATTTGATTTGGTGAAGAAATGGCCACACAGATTTGAAGCGGCGGAATGTTATATTTAAACCATTTTTCACACTATATGCTTACATGTACCAAGTATTGATATGCTATTCCAATTTTATTCATATCCTAATAAGGCAGCGGAACATGAAACATCAAAACATATTTTTCCCAATATCTTTAAAAGGCCAGCATTAAAAACTTGAACCAAATGCGCCAAATTATATTGAGCATATAAAATTTGAATCATCCATCAACTGGTATTTGAGTCATCAAAGATAACATTTAATAGCAGACATTTTGAATTGAACAGCCATATTGAAAATTGCAGAGGTCCGATGCCTATAAGGCATCATCCTATAGAAATTGAACCAAATGAGTAGACCAGTATTTTGGTTGTGACCCGGACACACGGATTTCAAGGAGTTTAAGCTTGAAATGTTTTTCACAACCTAAACATGAACGGAAAATATTCAAAAGCGATGCATTTGTATATATGGGCGATTGGCCATATGCATATGTTGGCGTTTCGATTCTATAAGCAAGCTTAAACTCCCTAATATCTAACATACTCGTTTCCCAGTTTGATTTTCAATCAATGAACACATCATACCTTGGAAATCCAAGGTAATTTGGAAGGTAATTTCAAAGTTGACCCAATATAATAATCTAAAATCGGATACGTTTTAGCTATAAGCCGTTTAGCGAAACCTCTCTATTATCTCTGATTTTATAGATAGTTAGATACCGCACGGTATAACATTACTTAAATTACCTATCATAAAGGGTAATTTCACATGACTAGTGATTATTTCTAATTGAAATACCGCACGGTATCACATTACTTAAATTACGTATCATAAAAGGTAATTTTACATGACTAGTGATTATTTCTAATTGAAATACCGCACGGTATCACATTGCTTAAATTAACTATCATAAAGGGTAATTTTACATGACTAGTGATTATTTCTATTTGAAATACCCCACGGTATCACATTATTTAAATTACCTATCATAAAAGGTAAGTTTACATGACTAGTGATTATTTCAAACTGAAATACCGCACGGTATCACATTACTTAAAAAATTACCTTTCATAAAGGGTAATTTCACATGACTAGTGATTATTTCTAATTGAAATACCGCATGGTATCACATTACTTAAATTACCTATCATAAAAGGTAATTTTACATGACTAGTGATTATTTCTAATTGAAATACCGCGCGGTATCACATTACTTTAATTACCTATCATAAAGGGTAATTTTACATGACTAGTGATTATTTCTAATTGAAATACCGCACGGTATCACATTACTTAAATTACCTATCATAAAGGGTAATTTTACATGACTAGTGATTATTTCTAATTGAAATACCGCACGGTATCACATTACTTAAATTACCTATCATAAAGGGTAATTTTACACGACTAGTGATTATTTCTAATTGAAATAATGTATATATTAGGTCTCTTTTAAAGATGCGAAATCAAATAAGCCAGAAGTGCTCTTGAATATATGAATAGCACATTTAGTAGGTACATTATAGCTAGTGGTATTGAATTTACTGTCAATTAATTTCGAACAGTTTTGATATATCATGGCTTTTACGTCAAGTTCGGTTCTAATTATGACCCCATTAGATACAAAGGTATGGTCGGATTAATTCTTCGGGCATTGTTGCGTGGGTGCCACTTACTTACGATTTTACGTGCCTAGTGAGTGATACACTTACTTACAGAATTAGACTAGATGTGTACTTTGTATAAAACATCCGATTCGATCCTGAGTGGTCGAAGTATAGATAATTAACAGTTGGCATTCCTAAAACTAAATCAAGTTTACATTTTCTAAATATAGTGAACAGAAACCAAAACATTCTAGATCTACCGCTTATGGAGGCCCCTGTTGTGTATGACATTTCGGAAACTATTTTTTCACGAAGATGCGTTCGTTGTCCGCGTTCTTATATGCTGTTGTCAAATTCCATTAAAACACGAAAACAGTGTCTGCGTTCTAACATGCTGTTGTCAAATTCCATTATACACGAAAACGGTGTTCGCGTTCTTACATGCAGTTGTCAAATTCCATTACACACGAAAACGGGGTCCGCGTTCTAACATGCAGTTGTCAAATTCCATTAAAACACGAAAACGGTGTCCGCGTTCTAACATGCAGTTGTCAAATTCCATTAAAACACGAAAACGGTGTCCGCGTTCTAACATGCAGTTGTCAAATTCCATTATACACGAAAACGGTGTCCGCGTTCTAACATGCAGTTGTCAAATTCCATTATACACGAAAACGGTGTCCGTGTTCTAACAAGCTGTTGTCAAATTCCATTACACACGAAAACGGTGTCTGCGTTCTAACATGCAGTTGTCAAATTCCATTAAAACACAAAAACGGTGTCCGCGTTCTTACATGCAGTTGTCAAATTCCATTATACACGAAAATGTGTTCGCGTTCTAACAAGCTGTTGTCAAATTCCATTATACACGAAAACGGTGTCCGCGTTCTTACATGCAGTTGTCAAATTCCATTAAAACACGAAAAGGGTGTCCGCGTTCTAACATGCAGTTATCAAATTCAATTAAAACACAAAAACGGTGTCCGTGTTCTAACAAGCTGTTGTCAAATTCCATTATACACGAAAACGGTGTCCGTGTTCTTACATGCAGTTGTCAAATTCCATTAAAACACAAAAACGGTGTCCGTGTTCTAACAAGCTGTTGTCAAATTCCATTATACACGAAAACGGTGTCCGTGTTCTTACATGCAGTTGTCAAATTCCATTATACACGAAAACGGTGTCCGTGTTCTTACATGCAGTTGTCAAATTCCATTATACACGAAAACGGTGTCCGCGTTCTTACATGCAGTTGTCAAATTCCATTATACACGAAAACGGTGTCCGCGTTCTAACATGCAGTTGTCAAATTCCATTAAAACACAAAAACGGTGTCCGTGTTCTAACAAGCTGTTGTCAAATTCCATTATACACGAAAACGGTGTCCGCGTTCTTACATGCAGTTGTCAAATTCCATTATACACGAAAACGGGGTCCGCGTTCTAACATGCAGTTGTCAAATTCCATTATACACGAAAAGGTGTCCGTGTTCTTACATGCAGTTGTCAAATTCCATTATACACGAAAACGGGGT